TCATTAAGGTCAAGATCTAATAAATGAAAGGTGATTATAGAAATATCAAATTTAAGGAATAAATTTCTTTAATGTTGCTTCATAACTTTAGCTGTTTCAGGGTATCATTTGTAGGTAAACAAGATGAAAAATCATATTTTAAACTATAATTTCCGTTCAAAAATTTAGAATACCAGCCATGGATATGACGTTTTTTTCCATATCAAACAAAGAAAATGTATCCAGATTGCCTACTGTCTTTCACAAAACGGCATTTTGTATGTTATTGGCATCTCCTTTAAAATAATGTCAAATTAAATATAGGTATTGGGACAACTTTTCATGTGGTTGTAAATTAAATTCCATGAAAACACTTTATTTACTACATATATCTATTAGAGTCGTAATGGAGTAAGAGAAAAAGAAAGTTGAAAGTGATTATGACGTCACAGCCCGGATCTTGCACCAAAAGGTTACTCTCAAGATATTTACTATATCTTGACCTTAAGACAGAATGTTAAGTAACGTTTCAATAACAAGTGATGTTTGTAAAATACTTATGCCCCCCCCCCCCCCCCGAATAATTGTAATTTTTCTAAGTCTAAGGGGCATAACTCTGTCACAAATTACTGGATCGCACCTGAAACATAACTTGACCTCAATATTTTTTTTTTTTTGATAAATATGCACGCTAAATTTTATTTCAGTATATATGTGGAACGGTTGTTAGAAAGCGAAAGGAAACTTGGTGGACTGACAGACAAACCGCGATCCGACCAACCGACAGATAATAGCAAAAAAATATGCCCTCCCTTCTTTGAAGGAGGAGCATAAAAATTTAAGATTGATAAATTATAATTTTGATAAACATTATTAGGCCCTAAATGAAGAAAACTTTTAGGAATAACAACCAATACCCTGACTCCAATCCACTGATCAATATCTCGACTCCAATCCACAGATCAATACCATGGCTTTTATCAATTTATCAAGTCACTGATCAATACCCTGATTTCAACCCACTGATCAATATCATGAATCAAAACGTGTATTTCATATGGTGGCCCCGTCCCACCCCGGGGGTCATTTTATCAATTTAGAATCTACACTATTCCAGGTTGTTTCCATATATTTCTCAGCTTTCTGGCCCACTGGTTCTTGAAAACAAGAATTTTTTAATTAACTCGCCCCGTTTTTGTCTTATCTTGATTATCTCCACATGAAGAATAATTTTAATAATTTTAACTTCCCTTTCCACAAGGATGCTTTGTACCAAGTTTGGTTGAAATTGGCCAAGTGGTTCTTGAGAAGACGTTGGAAATGTGAAAAGTTTACAGACAAACAGACGGACAAAGGGTGATCAGAAAAGTTCACTTATGCTATTAGCTCAGGTGAGCTAAAAACTCGGTTCAGGTAAAATTTCTTTTAACTTTATCTGCAGATTTCCCAATTACTGTCTCGGATATTTATGTCCTCTGCTTACATTAAGATATATCATTTTTTCAAGGTTTAAACTAAGTTTTGAGTTGGGCGACCATTTTTACCTAATAGGATGAGATATCAAGAAGGGAAAATCCCTGTTTAAAACAATGGCCCTATCATGACCTATAGAAAGCTCATTGTTATATAATTTACATTAAAGGATTAAAGATAAAGGTGAGACTATTTTAGCTTGCATGTTCCAGAGGATAAATTTGTTTTCTTAAAGGTTCTGCAATGATATCTCATGAATGTCAAACATATTCTGAAAGATCAAAGGTAAAAGATAAGATCAAATTATTGTATATTACGTACTTCAGATTTTTGATGATGACTTTAAGGACAGATGATACAAACAAATTTTTTTTTAAAAAGATTAAATGTCATGTCACAAGTTTAGAAAAGTGAATGGTAGCAAATTATCCTCCTAAGAACTGTAATATGAAAAACACTTGGAAAATATTAGTAATATTTCAATGAAAAAACAAATATAGACAAATCACATTCAGTAAAGGTTTATAGGTGAAAATAAATTTCAGATTTTGTTATTTTGGTGCTAAAAGTGTAATATAAACTGAAGGAAAATATCAAGCCAGGTGAATTTTATTAGGAAAAGCTAAATTGTAAAAATCAGCCTATGTGACATTGCTATTTTTTTGTCATTTTGTTCCTCCTCTTAAAATTCACCTGGATTGGTATATTTTTCTAAAGTTTATATACACATTAAGCACCAAGGTAACATATTATGAAATTTATTTTCACCAGTAAACCTTTACTGAATGTGATTTGTCTATATTTGTTTTTTTTATTGGATTATTACTAATATTTTCCTAGTCTATTTCATTTTCCAGTTCTGTAAGAAAATATTATGAAGAATTATCCACTTTTTAAACTTGTGACATGATATTTAATCTTTTTAATGAAAAAATTTGTTTGTATCATCTGTCCTTAAATCTTTGCTTTTGCAATTCTTTTATTTATTGAATTATTTTTTTCCATTTTACGACAAAGCTAAATGATCAAGATACAGTGTATGTAATGTTTTGGGATTGAGGATTAGTTTGTAGCTGAAATGGTTCATCAGTGCATCATTCATCTTTGAGATTACCTAATTCTATACACCTAAATAACTTTACCTGTTGTTGGAATTGAAGTAGTCGTTGTGCCTTGGGTTGTACTAGTTGTTGGTGGAGTTGTAGAAGTTGTTGTAGTACTTGTGGTGGTTGGTTCTGTTGTTGTGGTGGTTAGTTCTGTAGTTGTGGTGGTTGGTTCTGTTGTAGTGGTGGTTGGCTCCGTAGTTGTGGTGGTTGGTTCTGTAGTTGTAGTGGTTGGCTCTGTTGTTGTGGTGGTTGGTTCTGTAGTTGTAGTGGTTGGCTCTGTTGTTGTGGTTGTTGGTTCTGTAGTTGTGGTGGTTGGCTTTGTTGTAGTGGTGGTTGGCTCTGTTGTTGTGGTGGTTGGTTCTGTTGTAGTAGTTGTTGGTTCTGTAGTTGTGGTTGTTGGTTCTGTAGTTGTGGTTGTTGGTTCTGTTGTTGTGGTTGTTGGTTCTGTTGTAGTGGTTGTTTGCTCTGTTGTTGTGGTGGTTGGTTCTGTAGTTGTGGTTGTTGGTTCTGTAGTTGTGGTAGTTGGCTCTGTACTTGTGGTTGTTGGTTCTGTTGTTGTGGTGGTTGGTTCTGTTGTTGTGGTTGTTGGTTCTGTTGTTGTGGTGGTTAGTTCTAATGTAGTGGTTGTTGGCTCTGTTGTAGTAGTTGTTGGTTCTGTTGTAGTTGTTGTTGGTTCTGTAGTTGTTGTCGTTAGTTTTGTAGTTATGGTTATTGGTTCTGTAGTTGTGGTTGTAGGTTCTGTAGTTGTGGTGGTTGGTTCTGTAGTTGTGGTGGTTGGTTCTGTAGTTGTGGTGGTTGGTTCTGTTGTTGTGGTGGTTGGTTCTGTAGTTGTGGTGGTTGGTTCTGTAGTTGTGGTTGTTGGTTCTGTTGTTGTGGTGGTTGGTTCTGTTGTTGTGGTTGGTTCTGTTGTTGTGGTGGTTGGTTCTGTTGTTGTGGTTGTTGGTTCTGTTGTAGTGGTTGTTGGCTCTGTTGTTGTAGTTGTTGGTTCTGTTGTAGTGGTTGTTGGTTCTGTAGTTGTGGTTGTTGGTTCTGCTGTTGTAGTTGTTGGTTCTGTTGTTGTGGTGGTTGGTTCTGTTGTAGTGGTTGTTGGCTCTGTTGTTGTAGTTGTTGGCTCTGTTGTTGTGGTGGTTGGTTCTGTTGTAGTGGTTGTTGGTTCTGTTGTTGTAGTTGTTGGTTCTGTTGTTGTGGTGGTTGGTTCTGTTGTAGTGGTTGTTGGTTCTGTAGTTGTGGTTGTTGGCTCTGTAGTTGTGGTTGTTGGTTCTGTTGTTGTGGTGGTTGGTTCTGTTGTAGTCGTTGTTGGTTCTGTTGTTGTAGTTGTTGGCTCTTTTGTTGTGGTGGTTGGCTCTGTAGTTGTGGTTGTTGGTTCTGATGTAGTGGTTGTTGGTTCTGTTGTTGTAGTTGTTGGTTCTGTTGTTGTGGTGGTTGGTTCTGTTGTAGTGGTTGTTGGTGTTGTAGTGGTTGTTGGTTCTGTAGTTGTGGTTGTTGGTTCTGTTGTTGTGGTGGTTGGTTCTGTTGTAGTGGTTGTTGGTTCTGTTGTTGTAGTTGTTGGTTCTGTTGTAGTGGTTGTTGGCTCTGTTGTTGTGGTGGTTGGTTCTGTAGTTGTAGTGGTTGGTTCTGTAGTTGTGGTGGTTGGTTCTGTTGTTGTGGTGGTTGGTTCTGTTGTTGTGGTGGTTGGTTCTGTTGTAGTGGTTGTTGGCTCTGTAGTTGTGGTTGTTGGTTCTATTGTAGTGGTTGTTGGCTCTGTTGTTGTAGTTGTTGGTTCTGTTGTTGTGGTGGTTGGTTTTGTTGTAGTGGTTGTTGGTTCTGTACTTGTGGTGGTTGGTTCTGTTGTAGTGGTTGTTGGTTCTGTAGTTGTGGTTGTTGGTTCTGTTGTAGTGGTTGTTGGCTCTGTTGTTGTAGTTGTTGGTTCTGTTGTAGTGGTTGTTGGTTCTGTTGTTGTGGTAGTAGTAGTGGTAGTAGTAGTTGTAGTAGTAGTAGTAGTAGTGGTGGTCGTGGCAGCTAAAAATATAACAGCTTTATTGTGTGTGTGTGTGTTTAGCTTCAAATGGGATATATCAAATTTGGTCTTTATAACTTTTGTATAAGATTTCAATCCAAATTTAAACTCTCTAAAATGTTAAGAATGTTTTATATAATATGTGAGTAAACAAGAAATAGTAATAATGTATTAATGAATAAATTCAAAAGCATAAAATATAACTATCAGCTGAGACCCATATATAAAATATTTTGATTTACTATTGTTAAAACCTGTATTCTCAGATACTATAATAGACCATAGATAACTGTGGTAAAGTTTGCTAAAGTACATATCTCATTATGCTTCCGTATAAATCAGTCTAAATATAAAAATATATTGAGATACCAAGCCAACTAGTACTACGAAACTATATCTTATTGAAACTTGAAATTTGGTACATAGGCAGGTAACTTGGATGGCAGCATTTATTTTAACTAAATGGTTCAGTGTTTGATTTTGGGACCAAGACCATGATTTTCTTGTTGTTATATCAGGAAATTCTTATATATGTTGTACATAAAGCAGGTTTTAGATAACTAACCTATTTTCCTATTTTAATTACTTCTAAAGAGACAACTTAATTGGTCCCTTGTCTGACAAAATTAATGTCTTTTCAGTTTTATGCAACATATGGTGTTTCCTTAAAGAAAGTGAAATTGAACTTTTCAACGACAGACTAACATACAATAAGAAAACCAGTCTTTGTTGGCTCTTTAGTTTAGTTTAAAATATATTTTATTCATTAAGGATGTACAACACACCCACCCCAAAAAAATTCCTGTCGTTTAATTTTCGTTATTTTTGTATATTTCGTACATGACTATATCTACTGCATGTATGCACATTTTGGTCAAAATCGTTCGAGTGGTTTTTGGACGGGAAATACCAAAAGTTACTCCCCTTTAGTTGTTTACAAGTAGAGAAAATTTTTAATCAATGAACTACTTAAACCTTGATTTTCAAAAAAGCCAGGTTAGATATAAATGTCAAATTTCATTGACTTATTCCTTTAACCATTTAACACAAAAAACATAGTCATCTTTTTGATATAAATATCATCAAAACAATTTTTAAAGACCTTAAACTGAAAAACTATGAATAATCTAAGCCTTGAAAATTGTGTATTTTTCAAATTCAAATTTTTTTTGTGAAAAAACCTGTCATTTAATTTTGGTAAAAAAACTTTCTTTAGGTAGCTGGTAGTAAAAGTAATCCTTATAATTTTTTGTATAATTTTTGTACGACCAGTTTTGATTTAATAGCGGAAAATTACCCCCTCCCCCTTTCTCAAAAAATCACGTTCCCGCGCGTCTTTTAGACGGGGGTCGATCACTTTGCTATGAATCTACAAATACACATTTTAAATCAATCAAATTGGAATATTGCTTTTGCTTTAAAAGTTCTCATATGTAAAGCGTATTAAATGTAGATTTTTAGGCATTTTTGAATACCCCTACCATCACCACCCCTTCCTTTTTGCGTCGCAGACCATTAGCGTTTGACGAAATGTCATTTACAGTGCAAATACATATACATGTACTAGTATTTCGTCATTTGAATCCCAGAGGTAAGCATTAGTTTTTAAATTCATGAATGCAGAATAAATATTGTCTACTGTAAATATATGTACATGTATCAGGTAAAAATTACTGAAGGATTTGAGTGTTTAGTCCATATATGTATGCGTTATGCATTCCATATCACATGAAACCTAGATACGAATTCAAGTTATGTTGAATTTGAATATGTTGATTTTTAATTTTATTTCTTTAATTTTATTTATTAAAAAATGGTGTATGTTCAACTATCCTGTGATATAAATGGAATAATTGTAGTTTCTTTCATGTCATTATTTCAAACGAGAAAGTATGTGGCCGTGAGGATACATCGACATTTGCACAGATGTACACCCCTCATAATATTGTACGCATTCTTTCAATGTCGTTGCTTCTAAAGTTAAAATGAAAATACCGTATTCGTCCACATTAACTTCAAAATATCAAACATTAAACTCTTCATCTATTTCAATTTATATCAAATCGCCCATTGATATTTTTTAAAAATCTTATACATGTTATAGGCTACGTTTTGTTTTGATTCGAGGAAATGCGAAACGACATTGTTGACAGGACAGAAAGTCAAAAGATTTGCTGCAATAGGATATTCATAAATGCAGATAATTTCAGTACTAGTGAACAATTCTTTTCAATTTTATACTTACATTTTGTATATGAGGTCTATAGTATTCAATTCTCGGATTTATCAGGTCTTGCTGTAAATGTATCTGATTCTGTGGAAAACCGTGAATAAAGGGAGGAAAATAAACATCTCCTACATTTTCAGAGTTGTTCCTCTTTGATCAGTAAGGGTCTGAGGACAACATAGATTTTACATTGTAAAAAGTTTTTTGTTTGTTTATTGTTGTTTTATTTAATTAAAGAAGAAAAACAAAATATTTATATCGTAAATGCACAAATTGTAATGAAGACCATTAACCGGAATGTTATAAGCCAATTGTACATAATGAGAATTTCGGCAAAGTAAAATAAAATTTTCAGAATTAAAAAAAAAGATGCTGCTCTTTGATCAAGAATACAATTTATTGTACATGAAATGAAATGAAATAAACATTAAAGAATGGTTTTTTACGTCTCTCTTTTTACGGAGTTTAATCGGGTTTATTAAAAAAATACTTATTGATTGAGTATGGTACGCATAATCACAACCAAGCCCCATATCCCATTTTTCTTTTATGATTGATATACATCTGGATCGTTTTACTCGTCATTTTGACGCTTTATTTTTGACGTTAAATTTGACGTCACGTCAAACGTTCAATTGAAATCGCAAGAGTTATCTCCCCCAGTGTGTTGTACGTCTTTAAGTTGGTTGGCTCTTTCCAGACTGTCAGCTGATTAGTCTTACCGCATATGGTATTTAGAAGATTAATGGTGTCGATTGCAATGTCTCCCGACCAGGAGTTTCCTCTGACTCCCTCAAATGTAATCTTTGAAGGGAAAAAAACGAAATTAGACGCATTTAATGTTCATTTTATAGTAAATAAAAAAACATATGAAGCTGAATAGTATGCACATGTCAAAGATATAGCAAAAATTCGACTCCTTGCTATCAAATGAGAAGACATCAAGAAAAAATTGAAGGAAACTATAGATTAACAAGAGGCCCAGGGGCCACATCGCTCAACTGAGCAAATGACTATGTAAAACCTAGAAGAAAAAAAGTGTTGAAAATTTAAAATATGAAAGTGGGTTCAAGAGAGGAGGGGAGGCGGGTATTTGAACAAACTTGAATCTATACTTCCAGTGGATATTTTTAAATGAATATGATAAATATTGGTTTTGCTGTTTATAAGATGAAAATTTTTATTGATGTAGCCTTTATATTCTTTTATATAACTATGATCCACTTTTAAAGCTACTCTTTTCTCCTGGTTAGTCATAATTTGAACAAATTTGAATTTACACTACCCAGGGATGCTTCCATATAAATATGAACAGTCACAGCTTTGCTGTTCTTGAGAAGATTTTTAAAAGATATTTTCTATGTATTCTTCTGTTTAACTTTGATACCCGATTGTGGTCCAACCCTACCCATGGAGGTCATGATTTGAACAAACTTGAATCAACACTACCATATTATGCTTCCACATGAGTTTCATCTTTCCTGACCCAGTGGTTCTTGAGGAGAGAGTATTAAACATTTTACCTATGTATTGCCAGGTTAAAATTTGATCCCCCAGATGCGGCCCAATCCTACCCACGGAGGTCATGATTTGAACAAACTTGAATTTACACAACCAGAGGATGTTTCTACATGATTTTCATTCCCCAGTGGTTCTTGAGAAGAAGATTTTTTAAGACTTTCCCTATGTATTCCTATTTTAAACTTTGACCCTCATCATGTCCCCACCCTACCCCCGTGGGTCATTATTTGAACGAACTAGAATCTAAACTACCGTGGATGCTTCCACATGAGTTTCAATTTTCATGGCGCCGTGGTTTTTGAGAAAACGATTTTTAAAGATTATCTCAATGCATTCCTCTGTTAAACTTTGCCCCCTCCCCCACCCATCATGGTCCCGTCCTTCCCCCGGGAGTCATGATTTGAATAACCTTCAACCTAAATTACCAAAGGATGCTTTCACATGAGTTTCATTTTTCCTGACCCAGTGGTTCTTGGAAAGAGATTTCTTAAAGATGTCATTAATTTTTCACTTATTTATAATAGTCTTTCTTATAGGAGGGCGTGGCCCTTAATTTGACCAAACTCAAATCCCAATAACCCAAGGATATTTTGTGGCAAGTTTGGTTGAAATTGACTCAGTGGTTCTTGAGAAGAAGATGAAAATGTGAAACGTTTACGACAACGACAACGACACAAAACCAAAAACATCAACGACGACATACAACGGACAAATTTTGATCAGAAAAGCTCACTTGAATCCCACTTGAGCCTTCGGCTCAGGTGAGTTTATAATATACAAATAATTATTATTTTACGTCAAAGTTACTTTCTAGTGGAACTGTTTTTCTAAATGTTTTCAGTTAAATATCTCCCACCCACCCCACCCCCTTTATTGCAACTATTTCTTTTTCAAAGTGTTAAACGTTTCAGATTAATCGTTACAGAAAACAAAACACATTTGTTACATGGAACAAATCTGAATACTTAGTGATAAATATAAAATCCTATATATACTCAACAACAAAAAAAGAAACGTTTAATGCTTTATTCATCAAAGAAAGTTTGAAAAAAAAAGTTTATGGAACAACTATATTTTAATCATTGGATACACGTGGCCTTTTAACTCATTACAACTTATTGAATTGTTTAGCAACATACACCGAATCCTCGCGTCATAGATATATTACGTTACCATTTCCCCGCAAGCACTTTACAGCGGGGTACAAGTTTCTCTAAAGTTTAGCATAAATTATATTATGACGTTATATTTTAATTAGAAAATAACTTTTCTTATTTTATGAGATTTAAGCAAGTATAAAATAGTTGGAATTTGGCAATAAATTGAAGATTAAATGAACTTTTTATAGTGCGTGAAAATGCGTGATTGTGGGGAAACGGTAAATACGTGATTTTGCGTTAGAAATAGGTAATGGTATATGCGTTAAGATGCGTTACTGCGGGGAAGGGGGTTAAAGGACAATATAGGTTTAAAAACGCCAAGCGTTGAATTATTTCCCTTTATTAATCATATTTATAAAATAGTGTTTTACATGATTTCTTGTAAATCTGGGGTCTATTTTCATTGCTATTTTACATTTGGAGAAACAACAAACAATCCCATTAAACCCATATTTAAGATCTGAATGCAATGTTGATGCTGCAATGTAACACTTTAAAAAAGATGAACGCAACCGGGCTAACTATGATGATAACCGAAGCTATGCAACAGGAAGTTGCAACTACATTTAGTGAACATCAATCGGCTTTGCAGTGGTTAAAGGTAAGTCTCCACCAGCTAGGAACACACATGACAGACCAAGAACTAGCCCTCTACGGGTTACCACACCCAGACAGGACCGTCAGATATCCCTTCAACAATCGATTCAGAATTGCTGCACAAACTGCTGCAACAATTGCTGGTTGAAGACATCAACATAAAAATGCGCAAATTGGTTGCAAGAGACTGAAAGGATTTGTCCACAACATCCGTACATTGGAAACTACTTGCGCAGACAGACCACAAAGGACAAATGGATTGAGATACTACTTTGGGAGCGATGAAAATGACATCAACTTATCTTTTAAATTCGCAACGTAGGACAAGTTTGATTCTTTTCACAACCTACTCTAAAATCACTTCTAAAATATAAGGTTTAATCTGAATACTTAGATTATAATTTTTGATATGAATATAAATTTCTTTTTTTGTTGTTGTTGTTGAGTGTATATGATTATTAATATACATGTATGTATCTTATTAACATTTTAGCTGCAGTTCAGATTTCTAGTTAAAATTCCACATACACTGATGTGTTAATGTAAATAACAGTCAATAGAGTTAGTACAAGTTACCTGTAAGTTGCTGATAGCAGGGATATCAATCTCGGCGTAATGCCAGGCATCCCCCTGGTTACCAGATCTCGAAAATGCTAATGTCCTCGGAGTGTTTGTTCCCTGATAAAAGACATTAAGTGATCCCACTGCTGACCCAAACATGTGATAATAAAACTTCAGACATCTCAGGATAGCTGTAAATGAAAAGAGAATGTTTCTCAATTGAATTACATGTTAATACAAGTACTGTACACACATTCGGAATACATAACTCGAGTGATCAAATTCAGACTTTATACAGTCTTAAAATATTTGTCAGAGGTTAATTTTTACCACATGAAATATTTTATTTATTTTTCAAACTCAAGGCACAAATGCACCATAATGCGCGACAACCTTTCATGATGTCTCTAAAAATACCACCATTTATCGTTTAATAATTATATAATATATATATAAATATTATAAATAAATATCCATTTGATGAGCAAATGCACTAAATTTTCTATTCATTTAATTTTTTTAAATTATTGATTTTTGTTTTAAGGCAGCCTGAAATAAATATAATCAGCTATGAATATCATGTGCTTTTCTAATACAGATGGTTTTTAAATTGTGAAAGTACTATTTAAAATGCAAAATTTTGTTTTTGGCCGATTTGATGCTTTGCTTCAATTTTACATCTTAACTGTAGAGGGAGTGGTATTTTTAAAAACATGTTTACAGATAGACAGACGCACAGACAGACGGATGGACGATGGACACATTTCATTCATCCTCCTCTGATGCATC